TCCCCCACCATTTCCGCCCTTCTTCTCCCCCTTGGTCCTCCGTCAAGTTCCTCCTAATCCTCCTATACGTGCAAACATATGATATTTGTCCTTCTCTGCCTGACTTATTTCGCTCAGCAAAACACCCTCAAGGTCCATCCAAGTTGCTACACATGGCCAAATTTCATTGTTTCTCATTGCCATGTAGTATTCCATGGTATAGATAAACCACATTTTCTTGATCCATTCATCTGTTGATGGACACTTAGGCTCTTTCCATGTTTTAGCTATTGTGGAGAGTGCTGCTATTATTTTAATTTTATGTCTACTTAATGAAGGAGGGGAATAGAGGAAGGTTGGAGGGAATTTCCAAATGTCTGGCTTGTTTGACTGGATGGAGAGAGATGCCTTGACGGAAAATGGCAGATTTAGTAGTGTAAATAGGTTTCACCGGTAACAAAAGTGTCAATGCCAGTTAATATCTAGCAAAATGCAGGGGTGCCTGGGTGGCCCAGTCGGTTGAGCTTCCCACTTCAGCTCAGGTTTGTGAGATCTCACGGTTTGTGAGTTCAAGACCCACATCAGACTCTGTGCTGACAGCTCAGAGCCTGAAGCCTGCACTTCGGTTTCTATGTCCCCTCTCTCTCCCCCACCCCTGCTCATGCTCTGTCTGTCTCTTAAAAATAAATAAACATTAAAAAATTTATAAAAATAAAAATATCTGGCAAAATACATATGTATTTGCTCTTTGATTTAGCAGTCACACTTTTGAGGCTCCCTCCTAAAGGTGAACTGACAAAAAAACACTGAAAACAAGCCAGGGTTGTCAATGGGGGTTCGATGAACAAGCTATAGCACCTTCATTTAATAGAGTACCAAGGAGATCTACAAAAAGGAATAAAGAAGTTCTCTATATATTACAATGGAGTTATCTTTAGAATATACTGTTGAGGGTAAAGAGCAAGGAGAAGAAAGCATACATAGAATGTTACCATTTATCTAGGAAAGGGAGGAGAGGATTTAACTATATATGCTAGTATTTGCTTATATTTAAAAGAATGTCAAACCACAAATCGTTTGAATGGTTACCCCTAAGGGGAGAGCATAGGACTGTAATGCAGACCTGGCCAAGTCTTAACCAGCCTGATGAGTAGCTGTGGAGCAAAGACGAAGAGTCCTGGTTGGGTCTTAATGGCCATACATTGATTCTATCTGCTTGGGTGGTCATAACACACTGTCGTGGACCAGGGGGCTCCAACAGACATTTATTTTCTCACGGTTCCAGAGGCTAGGGAGTCCAAGATCAAAGTTAGACAAGGTTCAATTCCTGGTAAGAACTCCTTCTTGGTGTGCAGATGGCCGTCTTCTCTCTGTGTCCTCATGTGGCCTTTCCTCCATGTTCCTGAAGAGAAAAAGAGAGCTCTCTCTCTTCCTCTTCTATATGGCCACTAATCGCATTACCAGAGTCCCATGGTCATGACCTGATCTCATCCTAATTGATGTCGAAGTCCCCAACTCCAAATACCACCTGTCTTAGGCTGTTCAGGCTGCTATCATAAAATACCACAGACTGGATAGCGTATAAACCACAGAAATTTATTTTTTCTCACAGTGCTGGAGACTGGAAGCCTGAGATCAGGAAGCCAGCATGGTCGGGCGGGGTCCTCTTCTGGGTCACAGACGTCATGTTGCGTCCTCACATGGCAGTAAAGGACTAGGGAACTCTGTGTGCTCTCTTTTTTAAGAACACTAATTCCATTTGTGAGAGTTCTGCCGTCATGACCAAAGAGCCTCCTCTTCACTGCCCAAAGGCCCCTCTACTACCATTACATTGAGCGTTAGTATTTCAACATATGAATTTGGCAGGGATGCAGATACTCAGACCACGGGTCTTCAATATATAAATTAGCGAGAGGGGGACACAAACACTCAGTCCATAACATACCTCCGTTGTGCTTAGGCATTGGCTTGGGGTTGCCTGGAGAAAGGAAGGTTTCAGTTAAACCATAGTGAATCCTGAAGGCACTGAAATGGAAGCTGTCAGTTGACTTCAATCTCTGCAACTGTAGCCGGACAACAAGTTCTCTCTGGAAAGGTCAGCTAAGTATCCACTGCAGTCTACTTCCCCCTCAGGAGTATCTCCTGCAGGGTTGTTTGTGGGGGAAGGGTTTGGGATACCTGATTACACAATGTACTTGTGTCCTTTGGTTCTGTTTATGTTTGACCCAGGGGTTACGCTTTTATCTTAGGATGGATTGTTACTAAGACTGTCCAGCTCTATAACCGGGTGGGTCTGTCAGATCTCTGAGGTCATTATGGGCAGTTCTGAATGCCTGGTCACTTAGTATCCTATGGTCAGTCATTCCAATCTACCAGGACCCAGCAGGATACCAGGGGCAGTTTTCCAAAAAAGGTCTAATTCTTTGCTATGGATCAGGGTCTTTGCTCTAGAAGCCCAAGGGCCTGCATTTTAACCCTTTCACTAGAGCTTGCCACAAACTCTGTACTACAATGTTTCCACCGCTGATTCTTCCAACAACATAGGATCTGCCAAATTATATGGTCCAAGGGAAAAGCTGCTTGCACCAGAGCCTGGATCTGCTGTAGTCTTTCCCTATTCTAGGCCCCACTCAAAGCTGACAAATTTTCACGACACCAGTATAAGAGCAGAATTTCTGGACAGTGGAATTTGCTGCCTTCCGAGACCAAAGAAGCCTACCAGACATTGTACTATACTTCCATCTTTATGGAGAGGTACAAGATGCATCGATTTGTCTTTTGCTTCGGAGGAGATGTTCTGGGATATGCCTGACCCCTGGGGTTTTAAAAACTTTACTGAAATCGCAGGTTCGTGAATTATCAGAGGATGTATGGTCCACCTACTGGGTTACATGCGTATACTTTATGAAGGCTTCCAGAGTGCTTGCCAATCCTTGCTCACCTTGCCAAATCAGAATGATGTTGTCACTGTAATGAATAAATGTGATGTTTTGTGGAACATCCAGAAAGTTCAGATCTCTTTGGACTGTATTAATGTCAGATAGCAAAAGAGTTAACATAGCATAATGACAAAACTTGAAAGTGTATAGTTCTCCATTTCATGTGAACTGATTCCAGCCCTTTTTCTTGATCAGGATAGAAAAGAATTCATCTTTCATGTTAATGGCCATATAGCACACACCTAAGGCCATAATTAATCTGCTCTAATTAAGATACCGTGTTTAGCATAATAGCAGCAACTAGGGATATTACTTGGTTGAGCCTACAGTGGCCTACTATCATTCTCCAGAGTCTAGCATTTGGTTTCTGCAGAGGCCAGACATGGAGACATGGTAGTGGTCACCATCTATTGCATCCTTGAGATACTTAAGGCTGATACGAATCCATTCCATCCTCCCTGGGATACAATTCTGTTTCTCTCTTGCTTAGGGGTGAGGATGGAGCGGTTTCCAGGGTTTTTACCTGGACTACTATCATATTTCTTACCCCCATAGGCTAAGTGTTACCTCAAATGACAAGTAATTCAATCTCAATTATATATTCAGCAATTGGGGAAATAACCACAGGGTCAGTGCACAGATGTAGTGTATTGATTTTAAGCAATATTGTAGCCATGAATCCACTTAATCCTGGTTCACTTTTGCATCCACTCTGCAGAGGGTTATAATGATACCTGGCTTCTAGGTGTTTGTATTAGTCAAGGTTTTTCAGGGAAACAAAATCAATAGTGTGTGTGTGTGTGTGTGTGTGTGTGTGTGTGTGTAAAGAAAAAGATTTTGAGGAACTGGCTCATGTGATTACAGGGACATGTACAACTGCAAGGAAGCCTGGCAGTCTGGAGACCCAAGGAAGAGTTGATATTGTAGCTCAAGTCCAAAGGCAGTCTGAATGCAGAATTCCTTTTTCCTGAAGAGGGCCTCAGTCTTCATTCTTAACCCCTTCAACTGATTGGATGAGGCCCACTCGGAATTATGGAGAGTAATCTGCTTTACCCAAATTCTATTAATTTTAAGTGTTAGCCACGCCTGAAAGATATCTTCACCACGACATTGAGTCTGGTATTACAACAAGCATCGGGGCACCATGGCCTAGCCAAGTCGACACATAAAATGAACCATCACAGTATCCATACCAAATAGCAGACCCTGTTCCAATAATTTTCAAAATGTATTGGTCTTTCCCTTTCCCCGATGTATAGTCACCCAAGCAAATGGCCATTCATCCTTAGGGAAAGGACAAGGAGAATTTGAGAATGTATTTGCTGTGAGATTTCAGGGTCCTTCTTCTTGGAAACAAATTACTTCTTTATTCAGTGGTGTCCTGGTTATCAATCTATCGCCTCTCTGGCCCAAATTTACCCGTCAGTACTTACTTTTTGATCATGGATGAAATGCTTCTAAGGATTGATCCTTTCTAGTGAGCAAAAGGCTAAGCTTTCTCAGCAGCGGATGCTAGAAGAATATTACAGGAAGAAAGCCCTCCTTCCACTCCTCCTGGCTGCTATGCTGTCAGTCAGTCACATGGTCAGTGGTGCTGGTCCAGCCTTGCTCCCAGAATACACAGCCCAGACTAGCCTGATAATAGTCCCATGGCCCTCTCAATAGGGATGTCATGCCCTCCAAGACTCTTGCCTGTGCCAGCACCTCCTTCTGCTGGCCTCTACCTCTCCCCCAGAGGGACAGGACTCTAGGTTTTGTATCCCTGACAATAGTGTGGCCTTCCTGACATGGACACTGTGCTCTCCAGGCATCCCATTTGCACCAGCCACTGTGCACACCCTTCCGCAACAAGAACTGTCTCCCTGCTTGTCCAGAAACTAACCAGCTCTGGCCTAGGAAAACCAGCAGACTTCTCTGCCACTCAGTAGGTTGCAACCATACCTTCTGAACCCCAGCCTTCAGAGGAGAACTCCCTCAATAGAACTCTGTCCTTCCTTGGGTATTTTCCCCCAGCCCCAGAGTACCCTTAAATCTTATACTTACTCCTTATCATAGCCAGATTATTCTTGATATTGTACTTACCCTTTTAAAATCAGGGCGTGGTTTCTGGCTTTCGATTGGACCCTGATTGATAAGGACTGGGAATGGCTCCAGAAATGTAGGATTTGGGAATCAGATTGGTCATCCCCTGGTCTTGAGTGCAGTGCTGACAACGTTGCTAATGGGAAGCCGGATGCTAGTAACTCACTGCATGCAATGACATCACGAGAGGTTGATTGTGATGGAATGCCAGATGAAGCAAGTGCCTTAGAAAGTTAACTGACCATTGGGGAGCCTGGGTGGCTTAGTCGGTTAAGCGTCCGACTTTCACTTAGGTCACGATCTCGCGGTTCGTAGATTCGAGCTCCGCATCGGGCTCTGTGCTGACTGCCGGCTCAGAGCCTGGAGCCTATTTCAGAGTCTGTGTCTCCCTCTCTCTCTGACCCTCCCCTGCTCACTCTGTCTCTCTCTCTCTCTCTCCTAGAAATAAATTAAAAATGTATATAAAAAAAGAAGAAGAAAAGAAAAGAAAGTTAACTGACCATTGTGGCAGTCTGTAAGGACTGCCGTGTGGGATGGATCCTTTTGAAAGCACTTCAGAACTTACAGGCAAAAAATTAAAAAGACACACTGAAGCCCATTAACTTTTAGCTCCGGTATGGAAGTAGTTTTCTCCTGTACCCTGTGCATGTCCACTTGTTGTGGCTTTCCCATGACCCAAAGGGCTGCTTCCTGCTTCCTGCTTCCAGTGACTGTGGACAATCTCTGATCTGAGATGTTGGAGAATTTTTCATCACCCAGTGGACTGCAGCTATACTGTCTACAGTGAGGTCTAACCTCCTGTACACATTTGTCCTTCTTTGGTTACTATCCCTCAGCCCCAAGATCTATTTCTATCTTATAATGACTCTTCTATCCTAGTTTGATCAAGTTTTGCACATGTTTTGCACAGTGTAGGAGTGGCTGGGTGGCTCAATCAGTTAAGCATCTGACTTCAGCTCAAGTCATGATCTCACAGTGGGTGTGTGGGAGCCCTCCACTGGGCTCTGTGCTGACAGCTCAGAGCCTGGAGCCTGCTTAGGATTCTGTGTCTCCCTTTCTCTCGGCCTCTCCCCTGCTTCTGCTGTGTCTCCTTCTCTTTCAAAAATAAATAAACATTAAATTTAAAAAGTAAATAAAAAGTCACAGTGTAGTTTCTATCTTCTGACTGGACATACTGAAATGGACTCCAGATTTGGAATCTGGCACAGGTCTAGAAACTGAGCAAGGAATTGCAAATTTTTATTAAGACAACTTTCCGCAGCCATCTGTTTTATCCATTTTCCTTTCTTTTGACTAGAAACATAGAGCAGCATAGAGTTTTTTCCCCTCTTCTGTTTTGTCTCGAGGGACACTGTGTTCTACTAATCATCTCTACAACCCTGTGGGTCAAGTCCTTTTGGATGCCACATCAACTTCACCCATCATTACGATCATCATGAACCGTTGTGGAGCATTGGTGGTTAAGCACTACTGCGTGTCTTTGTCCCCTCCTATCAATGAGTCAAGTTCTCTTACCTCCGCTACTGTCAGATGAGAGCCACCACTAAACTTCTGAGTAATGCTTGATGCTTCCCTTCCTGGCATATACCTGACGGCCTTGACAAATTGCGTGATCTATGGAACTCCCTTGGAACAAAATCCTCTGGTGGGTTTTTCAGCCTCCTGTGATATGTCTGCTCAAGTGTGTCCATTGCCTGAGCTTTTTATGCTTTCTGTTCACCATATGCTACAGAAACTCAAGCATTTCAACTTAGCTCAGCATAAACCATTGCTTTCTTCAGCCTCCCTTGCATTGAGTTTGTACTGTCACCTGAATTTCTCAGAAGGGTGCTAAACCCAGTATCTTGAGAGCGTTACCCCAAGTCAATGAACTCTACCTTATTCAGTCTTATGTTCCAGCCCCTTTGATAAAATTTTCACAAGATCCCGTGCTCAGGTACCCCCGGTTCTGTATGGAAAATGCTGACTAACTCTCACAGCTCCTGTGGAGTACAGGCTCTGTCCTCCCTTATCAGGCTAACCATGAACCTGGCTGTTACTCCACATGCCTATTAACTTGGTGCTTTGGGCCCAGTTGCACTGTGGAGGAGAGGTCTCTGGAATGTCTTCCTCCACAAAGGTAGTATTAGCTTTTAGTGAGGAGAGGTTGGCCACCTTTGCAGGCTCTGAGGATTTAGATAAGTCTGTGGAGCAAAAATCTTCAGGAAATAGGCAGATATCCCTATCCTGTGAGTCAGGATTCCCAGGCTTCCCAATCAGGGCCCTGACATTGGCATAACAGACCTTCTTGGGTTATATATTCAATTGTCTTTGAAGCTAGGAATGCTATTTTAATTCTGAGTTTGGTTTTTAGCTTTTTCTGCCTCTTACTAAAAGAGAAAGGGGTTCTCTAGGATACCAAAGAGGCTCTCTGGCCTTCATAGTTAGCTTTCTGTTGTTAATTGCCCTCAGCTCTTCATTATCCCTCTGTAAGACAGGGGATCTGTAAATTTCATAGCAAATAGCCAATTCCAGTGTCCTTGTACACATGGCCTCCCAATTCCAGGCTTCAGACCAGTTTTGCAACTTGTACATTACAGAGGGGAGGAGTTTAGATTCTATCACCTTCCCTCCTGTTCAGATGCAATCAAATGACCCAGAGGTCAGCTGACAAACCTAGAAAGAATTTAGACAGCCTTGCAAGTTTTTTTTTTAATTAAAAAATAAGTTTTTTTACCTTTATTTATCTTTGAGAGACAGAGAGAGCACAAGTGGAGGAGGAGCAGAGAGAGAATGAGATACAGAATCCAAAGCAGGTTCCAGGTTCCAAGCTGTCAGCACAGAGCCCTATGCAGGGCTCGAACTCACAATCTATGAGATCATGACCTGAGCCGAAGTTGGACACTTAACCGGACTGAGCCACCCAGGTGCCCGCAGCCTTGCAAGTTTTTAAGGTGAAGATTTTTATTGGCTTACATGAGCACTCAGTCTTGTGTTTTTATTTTTCACTCTTTCTTTTTGGATGTATCTATTTGCTGGATATAGAATAATAAACTTGTTTTCCTCATTTGTCTATAAATTTTAGAAATCTGAGCATTTCAGTTAGTTGCCAAACATGAAGCATTAATCCTCCATAACGGAATATAGTTTATAAGGATTAGTCTTATTCTGTCACTGAATTATAAAAGTTACCATGAATGGAGCATTTTATTATCAGTGTACATTCTTTATTTAATCTGTGCCAGCACACTACAAATCAGCCCTAACTCTCTTATTTTACAGATCAGGAACCTCAAGGACAAGGAACTGAGATGACTTGCCCATGATCACACCCACTAGTGAGAAGTACAACCTATCTGACTCCACACTCACAATATCAAATTTTTTTTTCACAATATCAAATTTAATCAACTGAATCTTTTAGGTAATACAAGGCAGACATGCTTTCCTCCAAAATTAAAAATTCGAAGGCATGCCTCTTAAGGGTTAAGTAAACTTCCACAGACATTAGCCCGAATATTTTGTTCTGTGTTTCCTTCCCTATTTTAAGAGAGGGTATCTATCTTAAACCCTGGAACCTGAATAACTACTCATTATTCTAGGGAATGACCTAGAAAGAATGCTCAAGGGCATGCACAAACTTTTATATGTGATTACCTTGGGGTGGTTATCTCCACTCCAACCCACAATTGAGGGCATCAGACAAAACACTTTTCCCAGATTCAGCTACAAAATAATGCCTTCTTTATTATTATTATATGAACTGGGTTTAAAAAATGGAAAAATTGAGTTTCAATAATATCATAAAGAAAGGTAGACCTTTTATTTTACTAAGCATAAATAAGCTTATCATTTTTGTAAGTGATTGAGGGACAACAAAGTTCTTGTTATTATGGGGATACTTTTAATATTATTATCCTTTCCCAGTGAATTCAGTAGGATCTCAAGCCCCCAAGTGTGCACCTGTTTCCATGAGCTCTTGGATGAAGTTGTCTTCATGGCACTGCCGAGACTCCAGGTGTCTGCTGCTGCTTGGGCACTTAATGGGCTCATTCCCAAGCTGCTGCTTCTTCCCTGCCTGACATCACTGGCCATACCCAGAAATGGAAAAGGGTCTCTGCTTTCAGCAGTCATATCTTCGTATTTGGCTCACAAAGAGCTTGATAAATTCTTCCCTGTTGGCTGGAATCAAACACATTTGGTAGGGAGTCAAAGTCCTACTTGAAACAGTCTTATTGAAAGGGCAACTTAACTGACCTTAATTGACTCATGTGTCTTAATTCTTTCCTACCTGAAGATAATTTTCTCCATGAAATTAGGGATGCTATTCCTCCTTCCTTCTTTCCTCTTTCTCCTCTCTCCCTTTCTTTCTTCTTTCTTGCTTGCTTGCTTTCTTTCTTTCTGTTTTTGAGGCTTAAATACCCACATACTGGATTTCACACAACGACATTTACAGTTTACTTCCTGCTTTCTCAAGAGCCCTAGGACCCACAGTGACTATCCATGAGCATCTTCAGGACAATTTTTATTTCTAGGAGTTAATAAGAGTTAATGTTCAACTAATGTTTATTTGAAGGAGTGGCTACATCAGTGAGAGAAAATGATGAAGTGAGCCTAACAGTTATGTTACATAAGAAAAGTTGTATATGCAGGGGCGCCTGGGTGGCTTAGTCGGTTAAGCGTCCGACTTTCACTTAGGTCATGATCTCGCAGTTCGTGGGTTCGAGCCCCGCATCGGGCTCTGTGCTGACTGCCGGCTCAGAGCCTGGAGCCTGTTTCAATCTGTGACTCCCTCTCTCTCTGACCCTCCCCTGCTCACGCTGTCTCTCTCTCTCTTAGAAATAAAACATNTTTCAATCTGTGACTCCCTCTCTCTCTGACCCTCCCCTGCTCACGCTGTCTCTCTCTCTCTTAGAAATAAAACATTAAAAAAAAAAAAAAAAAAAAAAAAGTTGTATATGCAGTATTTGTGTATTTAAAAATACCTGTGTAATATATTTGCACATATTTTTTAGACATGATTTCTTTATTGGGATGTATGACTTTTATTGAAGTATAATTAACATACAGTGCTATGTTAGCTTCAGGTATAAACATAATGATTCAACAAATCTATACATTACTCAGTGCTGAGTACAATAAGTGTAAGTCACCATCTGACACGAAAC